GTCGTCGTCCTTGAGTAACTTCTCTGCTTAAGTTTCATTTTCCCGCTAAAAACGACGTCCTCGTTCCAGACCCCCCGCGATTATTTGACGACCTCGTCGTCGTCCCTTTTGTCGTGGTTGCTTAAGCTCCCTAATATCTTCTTTGAAACGAACCACATTCAAGGCCAAACTTCCCGTAAAATCCAGTCAGTGAACAATCCTACAGTTTCTGCCGTATACGGACCATAACTAAGTCTAAATTACATGTATACATCACCCTATCCGACTGTATCCATGTTAAGGAAATTATCATTTCAATATCCTTTTTTGTATAAAGCTGCATAGCGATTAGCCTTTGACTCTTGATACTCACTCTGAAACCTTGTGAAAAATTGGAAATAGGTTAATCTACATTTAACTAAAGTAAGCGTACTTCGCGAGTCATTTCACAAACCTCAATTGCTGCTGGAGTGCCTTCAACGCAATAGACTCTTACGACACAGTTTGCATTGGCTTCTGGGGGTGTAACATACGCCAAAACCTGCAAATCTCGCTCGGCTTTATGATTGGCCCCTGACTCTCCAACCACAGCAAAGAGGGTAAAATGATCCACCATCACATGAACCGTGTTGGGTTCCACTATGACGTGTGAATCCTCAGTTCCATCCTGGGTGCCTACATCAATCAGCTGCTTCCAGTCTGCAGATGTGCTGGGTTCACTTTCATTTTACTGAACTGTTTAGAGACAATTGAAACCATTAATCGACTGCGTCCACAACACTGTTACAAACACTTTGTAAATTCGAGTGTTGTCGGAAGCCCGGCTAACACTTCCCATGCAGTGCAACAAATTCACAAACAAAACTCCGAAAAGGTGATATGGAACGGTAGACCACGACAATTTCACTAGTTCTAGATACTGTCCGTTGGCATCAAACTTTCGAGTTCAAATCAGCAGCCAAAAAGTTGGAAAAAACATGCAGTTGCACGGAGCTTCCTGTCTTCCTATTTTACTACGTACATGTAGTTCTTTGTGCTTGATGCTCAACAGATCAGCACGTGTTTTAGTATTGCAAGTACACGATAAAAGTAACAAAATAGAAATCGTTGCCCAGGAGCTGGTTGAAAATGTTTCAATGACTTCGTTAAAAAGATGCAATCAGGATTGGAAACCTAAGTTAAAAAAAAACTAAAAACTCAGTCTTTGATAATTGAATTGTACTTACAAGGGAGTGACTTGCACTATTGGATTGATTTTTTACCTTTGAGCTTCCAAGCTCCTTCATTAAGCAGAGCACAGTGCGGTATACTCAAAATCACTGGCCGCTGAAACTTCAGACCAGTGGGGCCACATTTTACCACTGGACTCAACAGTGACTGTTTGCCGGTAATTTTTGGATGTTCCTTTTCTTGGTCCACGATAGCGACGTAAATTCCTTCAGTACGACCCTCTGGGATGGCTCCTGATGGAACAGTTAGGCTCACACCAGTATTCCCTATTGTAAATTTTCCTCCGTTGTGATCGACAAGTCCACAAGCCACCATTTTTGGATCAGCATTTTCCGGAATGTTGGAGACGTTCCACATCATTCGTGAGATTTCAGATGCTGTCGATTTGTTGCTAACAGACGAATATGTCCTCTTGAAATTGCGAGCTCTATCTTCCTTTCCTTCACCATCAACGTGAGCTTCAATTTCAACATGCACTGACTTGTCTGGAAGTTCGCTTACTCCCTGGAAGTCACAAGCTGTCGGGCCAGTTGGAGATCCAGCAGTCAACTTTACAGGAAGAGGTGGGGCCTCTTCATAAGATGCAGACCGAGCGACCACAATTCTTTTATGATCTATGATATCCTTTGGACCTATGTGGTAGTCAACGCAAAAAAAGGCAATTCCCAGATATAAATTTAAATGGAAAGTAAAGTAAATGACTCGTACGCAAATTGATATGGTAAAAAAAAAGAGCTACCGGTAAATGATAATTCTCTCATGCACGTAATGCCACTTTGCTTGCAGGCCGTGTCTGTTGTAAGGCCCTGATGGAATTTTACGAGTGGGTTTAAACGAAAGGAAAAAAACTGAAGAACCCCTTAGAGCTTTGTCCGCAGCAGCGAAAGGCGAGCGGTCTAACCACTACGCAAACATCTTAGATGTAATCGAGGCGACTGTCAGTAAAGTATACCAGACCAGAACAAGACAGTCACGTTAAAAACTTTATTGCTTATAACCAACCAAACAGCGTCACTTTATGAGTTCACATTTTGTAATCCATTTCTTTTTGGAAAAAGCGAAACACTTCGTAAATGATTAAGGACACAGATAAGTTACTTGTATGCGACATGCACCCAAAACTCCTGAGAAAGGTGGAATTTATAATAGTAAGCATACCTTCATACTGCTTGTGGGTTGAAGCGCCATATCTTTTACGTAAGTTTCGGTAGCGTTGTAAATAGATAATCAAAAGTGTAACAAATACTGTCACCACTGCAGCTAAGACAGCTACGGATATTATGTAGTTAACTGAAAGAAGAAACGAAATACATTCTGTAAGAAATCAGTTCCTTTACCTTTGAACTACTTTTTGGTCAGCGAACATGTATGTGTAGAGAAGCATAACAATGGT